TTTAAAAAAAAAGTTATCAAGCTCTTAAAAAATCACCCGTTATTTACTAAGCTAATTTTCACTCGGAGAGATCTTTTTACGTACATCGAAAGCCGTGGCTAAAAGTATGCGGTTTATTTTACAAAACAAGCCTGAAAGATAGTTCTCTATTTGGTGGCAGTTTTTTGCTTCTCGTGTCTGTCATTTGTAATTTTTCCAAGAATTACTATTTTCAAAACTGTAATAAATTATTTCGTGCGGCCTTCATTTCGAAAATTTCACATCTCCTTAAGTAACTGTATAATAACGCTAATTGAATTTGTCAATTGAAAATGTCCAAAGTTAACTTATGTAAATGAAAGCAATGGGAATTTATTAGCCATCAAACAATCACGTAAATATAGAAGTGACTGAGAGTAGAATTTTCAAGTGTTTCCGAAACAAATTAACACAATTAAATGTCATCAATATGCAAATGCAAATAAGAGAATATGCATAGGATGATGAAATAAATGATGATAATTTAAAAAAAAACTGGGATTTCGGTATCTTCGGAATGTTTTTAAGGGGGGTACAAATAGCACACTGAAATGGAATAAATCAAAAGTCATAGGAGCATTACATAACACCGGTTTCAACTGACAGAAAGCTGAACTGCCATCGCTACGTTGGGGAGAGGCCTAGGAAGGCTTCCCGGTATTCCTTCAAAGTAGCTAAACGGTTTTGAAATTGGCTCGGGTCGATTTTAGAGACCTGTGGTGGCGATGTTGTTTTTGTGGGGTCTATCTAACTTACAATTTATTTTCCACAGCGGAAGCCACTATGCACTGACCGCAGGAATGAGTTAAGGGTATGTTTATCTCTCGCATAGGTGACGTGAATTGGCCACCAAGATTGTGCGATTTGACACCGGAAACCTATTATTTGTGTAGTTTCCTAAATTCGCAGGTCTATGCCGATAAGCCGCAATCGACCGATGCCCTTAAATCTCAGGCAAGCGCTCAAGTTCAAACGCATACATGTGTCAGAGTGAATGAAAATTGGGCCACTTGGATCCATAAAAAGCCGTGGCGTACATTTTAACGATGTATATTCTCTTGTTGATTGTTGATGCTTCCAACAGGTTGGGATGATGTATTTCCCACCGAATTTCATTTATCAAAAAGTCAGAGCTATTGCTAAATGCTTACTCCAACATGAATTAGGATGTAGAAGCTCCAGCGAACACTGGTGCAGCTATCATAGATGCAGAAGGCATATTGAAAAATCTTATGGCAGACTCCAAACTGAGTTTGGCATTGAATTTCCTTTCCTCAGTATAAATCACTAGGTCTACATATGTAGATAACATTTTCTCGCTATGTTGTACAGAACGGATCAAAATACCAGAGGATGGTTGAGCAAATTACAGACTCGTTCGTTTCCTTTGCACACATCACACTAAATTTGGAGGAGAGTATGCTTTCTAAAGCTCATCATTTCTACACGAAGAGAAGGTCGGTATACACCGCTCTACAGAATGGTATGGATAGAAAGGACGGTGAGTTCTGAGGTGTTCACCTTCACTTTCACATCAGTCAGCAGAGGCAGCCTAAGACAGGAGTACTGTTGCCACTGCTCTAGTCCTTGAGGTTCAACACGAAACGACACGAAAACGGAAGGAGGTTCTGCTGATCTTGCAGAAATGCAAGGCCGCAGAATTTCAAAAATTACATATATAACAAGCTCACAAAGACGCCAAGCTTCGATTTGGTATACTAACAGTACGCTGTTTGTTGGCATCACATTTAAGTTTAGGCCAAATTTATGATAAAATATGCAAGAAATGCGGAACAAATGGGGAGATTATGGAGCATACCTTTGGGGATATCCAGCCCTTGATAGGAGCAGCTCGGTCTCGTAGAAGAGAAGATTTTCCACCAAATTTGAAGGAAGCCATTAAATGCCACTGCTGCCAGAGATAGATTAACTACATGTAGTTTATCTAGTAATACTATGCACCTTATTAATTTTTGAGAAACCACGAAGGCCTAACCTGAGCCACATCTACGTCAGTCTATGCTGGATCCCCGGACATCGAAATTATGAAGGGAATGAGTTTGCTGATGAGATGGCCAGATGCGGCTCAGAGATGCCCTCCTTCCGTCGTCAGCAAAGGATACTGTGCTATAGCAAAAATGCTTCAATGGTGGCGAATACTAACAAGTACTCTCTGCAGAGGCTACCATGATGAGGATGAGGAAGAGTCAATTGACCATTTGTTCATTAGAAGACTGACTTGAAGCTATTCTCTCGATTAAGACACATAATCTCCTCATGGCACTCGTAAAGGGCAATTCTGTCTCCATGTGGAAGTATGGAAATTTCCACACACGCCCTTCTAACCCAACCTAACCTACCTACACGTTTTTTATATTACACTGGTTCAAAAAAATCGACTTTTTTTACAAGTCCCTTGTGGAATATTTTCGGGTCAAGGAAAAAAGATGCCAGTCGAAAGCACAGTTCTTTATACTAAGAGGTCGCCCATCGCGAATTTCTACTTCCCATATAAGGGGAAATTACAAACTACTTTTAGACTACTTGAGAAGCAGACAGAAAATGGGAAAAATATTTCGAAAACTACGATTTCTATAGATTTTTATACGGGCTATGCGCTTTCCATTTTTTTTTTTTTTTTTAATTTTGTATGGTGAAAATTCTAAACGAAATTATGGTAATTTTTAATATTGTTTTCAGTTAACTCAATCGAAATTCAGGTCTTTTTAAACAGAAATCATTAATAGAACAGGGACTTTTTTATTTTTAACGTATTGAAGAGAAATCGAAGGTTGTAAACAAGTTTCGTATGATTTTTTCCATAAATTCCTCCACCAAAAGTTATTCAAGGTCAAGATCAACGATAAAAATTAATTAACGATTTTTTTAAACTTCAACAAAATGTTTTTTAAACTTATCATTAAATAGCATGTAATTTTTCTTGGAAATGTTATTATTTTTATTGTTCTCTGAAGAAAAGCCTAATAAAGTGTGTATCGAAATTATATGCCACTCAAAATAAATATAATTTTTTTAACAGTCTTTTCTCATCATGAATGTTAATGCCTCTCTACTGTCTCTCAAATAAAATAATTTAATTAGTTTTAGTACCTTCCTAATGTTTTCCATTTTTTTCTACTTGCAGCGGCTTCGAGCGTGATCCAGCCACTAGTAAATTTGAAATGTACGGCTCATTTCCGAAAATTGTTCTAAGCGGAAAATATGTGGCCGACGGACGTATTCTCTTCTTGCCTATTAAAGGTGATGGTGATGCCGACATTGTGCTGCACAATCCCAAGTTCTCAGTGAAATTCAAGCCCTCCGTTCATCCCAAAGATGGCAAAACCTATTTGAGTGTGAACAAGCTGAAAGTGTTGGTGGAACCGCAAAGGTAATTTCAAAATATGTTCAAATAAATATAATACAACAGTTTTTACACAGCATTATTTTATTTATATTTCCTTTACTTATACATGCACCTCTTTATTCTAGAATGGCCATCAAATTGACCAATCTCTTCAATGGTGACCCAGCACTCGGCAACAATTTGAATGAGTTTTTGAATCAAAATTGGCAGGAAGTTTGGAACGAGCTACAACCTTCCATTCACTTGGCCATTGCTGATATTGTGAAAAATATACTACATACGCTCTTCAAGCGTTTCGCTTACGAAGATTTGTATGCGGATGAATGAGAGATTTTATTGTCCTGCAAATGATTGCAAAGGCATTCAAATACACTATCTGAATGAATTCTCATAAGAAATGTAATCAGTTTTATAATTAATTGAGTATTTTATTTTATTTATGTACATTCTAAGTGCGATTTATTTCGGAATATTTATATATACATATATGTATACATATGTGATGTAGCAGTACAAGTAAGATTGCTTTCATTGGAACGCCCTATTACTATTTTTTTAATTACTAAGATTTTTCTAAATTTAAACAAAACCCTAACTATACGCTATATAAGCTATATAAGTACACACATATGTACGGTGTAACAACAATTCTGTATAGCTAAAATATAGATACATGCATATGTATATGTATTCACATGTAAAAAAAAAAGTTTACCATCTTTTTACAAACAGAAAAAAATTTAATAAAAAAAGGAAACCTCTGGAATTAATGATTTTTGGACATCGACACTTGGGATGTAGATATGCATTAAGGTTTAATTTTTGTCTCTTTCAAATCAATCGAAATGGTACTAGAAAGGCTTTAGTTCTTAACTACACGAAGGAGAGAGTTGCCACCAGTTTAAATAATCAAATTCAGTTTGAATTAAGGATATTAGATAATTGAAACATGTTTCACTATATGGGTGACAGACGAAAGGAGTTTGAAGAGGTTAAAAATATTTTGAAGAAGGTTGCCACCTATTTAAAAAGTCAAATTTAATTAAATTATAGCCAAGTTACTTGAAATATTAAGGTATAGGAGTCAAATGAAAGTGTTTTAAGAAATTTTAGTTGAGACATTTAGAATGTTTTTCAGATGTTTGAAGAGAGTTGCCACCGGTTTAGTAGGTTCAATTCAAATTATTAAGTTTAATGTATTATCAAAAGATGGATATCAATTAAAATGGGGTTGAAAATGCTTTATATCTATTAGTACTATTGTTGGAGGGTTGCCAGCTATCTAAAAAATCTTGATTAAAAAGCTTGATTCATAAGTTTTTTTTTTTTTGTTGGATCCAGCCACTAAACAACTCTGCAGAAAACAGCACCCTGTCTAAACCTGCACGACTGTTGGGTTTCAAAGAGCTCAGATGTTCATCTCTCAAGTCATCGCGGCCAAATTTTTAGTAACCGACTTCACAAAAAGGAGGAGGCTATCAGTTCGTCGGAATATTTTTTTTTTTGTATGTTAATTCTTTTTTCATCGGAAAGGTGGTACCTCAAGAGAGTCCCATACTAATTTTGTTTAGATCCGATAATTGGATCGTGAAGAAATTAACGATAATCTAAAATTTTTGTATGAGAACTGAAGTCGGTTTTGTTTTTTGCTTAAAAATTATTTGTTTATTTTCTTATTTTATTAATTTTCAAAAAAGTCAATAAACTAACAATGATTCTTACTGACTAAAATGCTAACCTAGACTTGAACATTTATACAGAAAATGTTAAGATAAAATTGAGTTTAGTAATTTAGAAAACACGTTCTGTGGTAAGGAAAAAGCAAGTTTAGTAATCGCAATTGGAGCATTCCTGGCATGGTTTGTAATGAGGTTTTTGATATAAAATGGATAAAACGAATGAAGAGTCCTCCTTAGTACAAGAAACTGAATGGAAAGCAACAGTTAAGGGCAGTCAATTTCCCCATTAATCACAACAAACACAAAAGAAAGAGATAGAATAGTCCTTATGGCCTCAAGGGACTTTAGATTAAGTAAGAGGAGACGGAAATGGTAGGAAGGGATGGGATCTGAAAATTTAAAGCAAATAAGGGAAAATACCGCATACCTAATTCTTAGAAAGGCGGGCAGGAGCACAAAAAGTGTTTCATCGTCTCATCCTCTTCAAGGCAGGATGCGCAAATAGAGTTCTCATGTACACATATCACAGTCAGGAGTTTGTGCCACAGTCAGCAGTCCAACAGTTATCTGGAGTCCCGTCTGCTTAGTGAGAGCAAAAAAACTAGATAGACCTTCCGATATTGAAGGCAACATGAGTTTTGCCCACCTGCAGCCTCCCAGTCATTCCGTGGCGAAGTATTCACCCAGTTTCTGATTGTGGCTTCGATAGCCAAGGTGGGGAGTGCTATAACTGGTTGCGGACCGAGGAATGCCTGGTCTGCGCCAACTCTAGCTTAATGGTCAGATGTCTCATTACTAGGTACATACTACCGCGTGAACTAAAGCAAGCTCGTTATGTTTGCAACATAATTCAGTCGATACTTGCATTGCCGAACTAGTTTCAAAGTAGTTAGAGGGAAGGAAAATGGCTTAACTGCAGCTTGGCTGCCACTGCAGACACGTAAACTCCTTCCCCTCCACCTACTTTCCACTATGTAGTCTACGGCCTTGGGGATTGCAAATAGCTCAGCCGGGAAGACCGAAGCATACTCCCCAAGAAAAAAGTGAAGCGTATCCCCATTAACTTCGACACCAGATCCTCCGTTACTTGAAATATGTATCACAATGGGTAGGTTCAGAAGGCGCAGCAGTTGAGCGTAACCGTTGCTAAAAAAAATCAGTGATCGCAATGCGTCTTCTGAACGGTTTGATACATTAGCAGCCAAATTCAATAACACACAACATGTTGTCTCAAATGATCAGAAAAATATTACGATCATCTAACACGCAACTGTTCAGTTGATCAGAAGTACAAAACAACCCGTTCAGAAAGTGCAAACGCAAAAGTTATTGAGCTGTTGCGCCTTCTGAACGTACCCAATGCCGAACGAAATACTTACAAAATAGTTTTAAGTGTGTTAATAGTATTGCCATCTGAAAAGTCGAATTTAGTAAACTTATACACTAGCTATACTTATGATATATTAAAATGGGAGTGTCAAAATAAACAGTTTTAAGAAAGCTTTTGTTTGAAGACAAATTTTTCAAAGGAAATCCGTTTTGATCAATCAACCCAAAGGTGCAAACACTTTTGGAACGAATCAAATTTATAACCTGGTTGACGTCCCTGACAATTTCTTAACAGTGCTACACTTTTTTCAAAATCCGCTGTTTAGCAAAATTTGCGTGGGTCACTTGACGTGGCCTAACTCTTCAACATATTTAAGCGATGTTTCCGTAAACGCAAATTCCGTAGTTGTCTACTTAATTTCTCTTTTTTGTTTTTGGTAACAAATGAAAGCGATCGGCCTCTAGATGGGCAAAAATGTGTTTTTTAGCAGAGTTGCCACCTGTTAATAATACTACTACATTCAATCTTAGTAAGTGATGGTATCGGTTCTGCACTGTCACTGGCAAACGAAAAGACTTAGCCCATAGATCTGCAAAAATGTATTCTGTTTTGAGTAGGGTTGCCACCTGTTTAAAAATTGTAAGACCTTCACCCTTTTTTCGATAACAAAATGAGATACCAAATGAAAAGGCATGACATTCGCATGTACAAAAATGTATTTTTAGAGTAGAATTGCCACCTATTTAAAAATTACTATTTTATCCTAACATAGTATAAACAAAGTCGAGATTTTTTGACCATGCTAATCTTGAAAACTACTGAACGGATTTGGACGAGATTTTGTTTAATATTATCTGTATCGATAGAAGTATTATCTTTAATATTAAGAATTTCCATAGGGTTGCCGCCTGTTTAAAAACTTATAAGATCCCTTCGTTGAATTACAGAAAGTGAAATGTGCTTTGAATGTGCAATAAGCTTTAATTTTTTTGGTGGGGTTGCCAATTTTCGAAGAAATACTACCTTACATATGTATGTATAATACGTGAAGTCATTTTTTATTAATAACATCAGATTTTCACAGTTCATTCAATTATATACAACGAATATGTGCAATAAAGTTTTATCTTTTTTGACGTAGAATACGTCTTACCTTACGATATGGAGGCTATGCTGAAATGTTGTAGTTGTAATTTTTAGAGCTTCACGAAAACGCTTATTGCACGAGAACTAACGCAGCGATTTCAAAGAAAAATGTGGTGTTTTAAAGATAAGATTCCAAACCTATCGACAGATTCATTTTTGTAAGTAAAAAATTCGGTTTCTGTCGTAAAAACAACGGTAAACATTGCCTTATTTTGGGGTCAATTTTGAGCCTTTAAAGTGATCTAGCAACTTATGGTTGGTAGATATAACTTTCATTTTCGGGATATAGGTTCTTTGGAGCAGTAGAAATATTATCGTGTACAAATTTTATATAAATTCGACAAATATTGAGCATTTTAAGGCAAAAAATTGTTGAAAATATTTGCAAATTTTTTTCATTACCAAAATGGTCGAAAACCTCTCAAATGATTTTGTTTTTGTTTTCTTTAGTCAAAAATTCAAGATTTTTCCTTTTGTTTGGTATATGGGATATTGGTTGATATCTTCTATATATGTTCATTTTATTCAAATATATGGGCATAGATGATTTTCCATACAAAATCACTTCGTCATCATTTTGCAAACACGTGCATGCATTGGAAGTGTGGGAAGGAGACCAAAAGTATGTATGCGTATGTAATGCGGCTTTTGATAAACAGATGGCGCGAAATTTGTATCGATATTGTTATTGATCTTGCATCGATATTTTCGGAACTTATCGATATAATGATCGATATTTTGATCGATTTTATTATCGATATGTTTTATTGATTTTATAATCGATTTTGTTATCGGCTTTTTTTTTATCGATTTTATTATCGATTATTTATCAGTTTTGTTATCGATATTTTTTATCGATTTTGTTATCGATATTTTTATCGGTTTTGTTATAGATTTTTTATCGATTTTGTTACCGATTTTGCCATCGATTTTGTTATCGATATTTTTATAGATTTTGTTGTCGATATTGTAATCGATTTTGTCATAGATATTTTTATCGATATTTTTATTGATTTTGTTAACGATTTTTCTATCGATATTATTATCGCTTTCTTGATCGATATTTTTATCGATTTTATTATCGATATTGTTACTGATTTTGCTATCGATATTTTCGGAACTCGTCGATATAATGATCGATATTGTTATCGATTTTGTTATCACTATTTTTTATCGATTTTGTTATCGATTGTTTTGTCGAATTTGTTATCGATTTTGTTATCGATTTTGCTATCGATTTCGCTATCGATTTTTTTATCGATATATTTATCGATTTTGTTGTCGTTGTTTTTATCGATTTTGTCATCGATATTTTCATCGGTTTTACTATCGATATTTTTATTGATTTTGCTATCGATATTGATATCGCTTTAGTTATCGATTTTTTGATAGAATTTGTAATCGATTTAGTTATCGATATTTCTATCGATTTTGCTATCGAT